CCTTGTCGAAACGTTGTACATTTGCTGTTGTATTAAAGTTTTTCTTCATTACCCATTCAAGCCGTCTCCAGCCATTATTAGTCTCAAAGTGGGTTCCTCGAACAAGTAAGGTAAGTTTTGTTCAGAGCTGACGTATATGCTCACATACAGTTCTGAACCACTGGGATAATAACCGAGAGCCTTACACTCCCATGATCACTTCTGGTTTTGATATACACCTTGAAATGTCATTACAAAATTTGTATTAGTCTGAAACATTGAAAATATCTGAATAATTATACAAAGAAGTTTGTAACAGTTATATTAAATACCAGATTTTTATGTACTATTTTTTAGTGTATTTCAAAATTCCTAATTTTACATAAATCAAATGCGTATTAACTGAATGCTTGGATCCTAGGTGGTTTGGTCTGATAATGTACTTTCAAATATGTTAATGGTATTGTATATCACACTGGCAATACTTCTCTAACACTGGAAGCCAAATTTGTCATTCAGGTTAATAACTCGCTAAATTTCAGGATCATCCATGTCATTTCCTTCCAAGAGAATCCTACTCTCAAGCTTGTTTCTATGCCTTAAAGAGAAAAAACTACAGTAGAAACATTGAAAAATAACAGAAAATTGAATATATTAGATTAGGTTTTTTAGAAAGAAAAAAAATCTCTATCACAAAACCAAACTTCACATAATGCATTACTTCACAAAACAACCTTCACACAATGCCTTACCTTTCAAAATAAGCTCCACATGATTCTTTATATAACAAAACAAATTTCACACAATGCATTACTTTACAAAACAAGCTTCACACAATGCATTACTTTACAAAACAAGCTTCACACAATGCATTACTTTACAAAACAAGCTTCACACAATGCATTACTTTAAAAAACAAGCTTCACACAATGTCTTATCTTTCAAAATAAGCTCCACATGATTCTTTATCTAACAAAACAAGTTTCATACAATGCATTACTTCACAAAACAAGCTTCACATAATGCCTTACCTTTTGAAATAAGCTCCACATGATTCTTTATCTAACAAAACAAGTTTCACACAATGCATTACTTCACAAAACAAGCTTCACATAATGCCTTACCTTTTGAAATAAGCTCCCCATGATTCTTTATCTAACAAAACAAGTTTCACACAATGCATTACTTCACAAAACAGGCTTCACACGATGCCTTACCTTTACAAATAAGCTCCACATGATTTTTTATCTAACAAAACAAGTTTCACACAATGCATTTACACACTGTTCAAATTATAAAAGTTCCAGATAAACTACTTTAAATAAATTTAGGATGTTATTGCACACAACGAATGTTTTGTTGTCTATACACACATGGGAAAATAATTCTTAAGCTATTTTATTACAAAATTATTTCAGGCAAAGAAAGCATAATATAATCATGCAGAAACAGAAAAACCTATAAAATTTCAAGAAGTTTTTTAATGGTTTTGAATTAACATACAAATCACAATTTAGACTTACTAATATGAATAAAAGAATAAAAAACAAGACACCTTCAAGAAAATCTACAACTTAATATCAAATTAGTAATTAATTTGCGAGTTATTTTCACATGTAACTTACACAAGTAAGAGAAAGAAAAATAACCTCAATTATGTTTACTATTGAACAAACTAATTTTAATACTTTTTATTTTACTTTCAGTATGTAGTTTATAGAAGATTCTACTTATTTCTTATCATTCAAATAGCTAAAATTCTTAAATATTGCAAATTATGCCAACATAATTTCTTTTCTAGCTAGAGATAGTTTGAAATAACTTTATCTACAAAGAAAAAACAGTCTTCAGTTAATCCGGTAAAGTATAGTTACTTACTTGTGACCTTTCTTTTTATCTCTTCTCTTCCTGTTAATGACACCATTTGGTTCATCCATCATTTTCAAAATTAAAACCTGATCACTAGAGTCTAGCGGGGCCACTGATATATCTCTGACTGCTCTAAATTTACCACAGTTGTTCAGGTGCTCATTTTCCAAACGAAAGAAGTTCCAGACAAAACGCCTTATTCAAAGAAGAAAAGTGCATCTTTTTTTTTTATTCTAGCACACTGTTACTTAAAAAAAACAAAAAAAACTTTTAAATTGAACAAATATATATGTATATATATATATATATTTGTACTTTTGTAAATCCATGACAAAATAATATGTGTTTATCAGTTATGTTACATTGATAAATTTTTTTTTGCACATTTGTGAAAAAAAAAAAGTATAAAATAAATAAATACAATTCAAAATAACAACCTGAAGTTGATGTGAGGAAACACTGAAACATGTATAGTGCAGTATAGACTGTATACAGTCTGAAATTAAAATTATTTTTATTGTGTAAACAAAAAATGGTTGTTGTTTTTAACTATATTCATTTATTTGTTCGTTTAATAATATCAAGCACCGTAACAAGGCTGAAGTTTTCTTATTTGTACATATCAAAGACAGAAAACCAAAAAAATAAGGGTGCTTGTTGCAATGATTTTACGGTACCTTTATTTTTCTGGAATAGAAACAAGCTTGAATTTTTTTTTATTTTAAGCCAATTTGTATCTTTTAAGTAGTTTCTATCCATCTGTAATAGAGGAATGTAAATATTCAGTTGCTGAGGTATACAGTAATCTTTGTGTCTTAAATTTACAAACATTTTTATGTAATCCTTCTGTAATAAAGCAATGTATAACTAAACACACGGAGTTTAACAATCAGTAAGATTGAAACATGCAATATTTACCTCATGACCTCTAATGGGGCCAAAATAGAAACAACTAAGTCACTGTTAATCAAGTCAAGATCAGCCATTGATACTGAGACTGTCCATCCAAATCGCAAAAGAAAGTCTTCAATAATAGCAAAATAATAGTAACCCTAAAAAATATAGAAAACACATAAGTTATAGATTAACAAACTTCATTCTCACAGTTCCTTGTCTCTTAGAGCTTAAGTGATTCAAGAAATGTGTAAGAGAAGAAATTATAATTTGATTTAAACAAATTATAAATAGATCTATGATGAAGATTTTTATATAAAGATTTTATAAGTAAAAGAAACATTTTTGTGCAGGTGTACAATTTCTGTATGCAATAAAAAGTAAATTTTACTGTTCATCATTTCTGCTTTTAGGTTCAACACGAGTTTTTTTTAGATATTGCACAGTTCTTGAAGGGTAATAAAATTGTACTAAGGCAACCGTATGTAATGACACACACACACACACACACACTTAAAGAAACTTGGATAATGGCTCCATTTTGAATTTCAACTGTTACATAGAAGCTGCTTATAACAAGAGAATAAGAAATAAAGGGTACCTTTTATTTTGTTTTAGCATACTGTTAATCAAAAAGAACACTTTTAAATTGAAAAATATATATATCTTGCTTTCACAAATTCGTGATAAAATAATACATTTTTCTGAATTTTAAATGTTATATAGAAACTGTTTATAACACAAGAATAAAATTGTGTGAGATAATTCTTAACATCACAATGAAACAGTGTATAACAAGAGAATAAAAGTCTGTGTTATAGCTCAGTAGAAATTTGCTACAATAATCCCAACTTTTATCTTTAAAGCTTGCAAAAAGCATGCTTTATCATTTTGTACTGTATTTGAATTATGCATTATTCTGTTTTTTATTTTTGATGTATATATGTATCTTCCCATCCCTGCTAAAATGTTTTTATTATTCCTTTTACTTAATGTGTAGCAAATAATCATAAAAAGCTCAGCCTTTGTCGAGGTCTTTAGGGTTAGTCGTTTCAAGTTTAAGTATTATTTTCTTTTGAATAGACTTTCAGTTTTATTTTATTGTTGGGGTACTGGTTAATATCACAGTTTTGAAGTATTTAAAAGTATGGTAATGAGAATCAATATAATGGCGAGTTACAGAAATGTCTTGGCTACCAATAATTATATCCCAAATAAATTGGGTATGAAACTTCCAGTGAGTTTTGTGAGAAGACTTTTATGCATACTCAGAACTTGCTGTATCTCAAAAAATTTGCATTGGATATTGTGTTTGTTTGTTTGATTTGAATTTTGTGCAAAGCTACATGAGGGCTATCTGTGCTAGCCGTCCCTAATTTAGCAGTGTAAGGCTAGAGGGAAGGCAGCTAGTCATCACCACCAACTCTTGGGCTACTCTTTTACCAACGAGTAGTGAAATTGACCATCACATTATAACGCCCCCATGGATGAAAGAGCGAGCATGTTTGGTGTGACGGGGATTCAAACCCGTGACCCTCAGATTGCGAGTCGAGCACCCTAACCACCTGGTCATGGCGGGCCTGGATATTGTGAATTGTTTTTTTTTTATATATATCTTAAAATTTACTAAATATGTGATTTGTCTGGTTAAAGCCACTAGTTAAAAGTATAATAGTTTAATAACTTTCTTCTAACATTTATTGTCTTACCGGTGAAGAATAGACAATTTCTTCTCTGAGAAACTTGTTCTCTTCAGCATTTGAATCAAAGAGCCCCCAGTCCATCTTAATATCCCAGATGTACGTATAGCAAGAACTAAACACTGCACATACGATCCAGAGGAAGAAAAAAGGGTTGTATTCAGACTCTTCATATCTATCTGCAAATAAGATTAATCCTTCATTATAAACTCTGTCTGTGAAGAAGGAAAAGGCTATCATCTCAGACAAATTCCTCTCCTCCAATTTAACATTACTAATTACACAACTGTTTAACAGATAGTTAATGATATATTTCACTATTACTGGTCAATTTGCAACACAAGTTACAGTACATGTTAAGCAAAAATACAAAGCAACTACACAGAAAATGTGATGGTATTTTCAACCTTAATGGCACCAGGTGTAACACATGAGCCAAATAGCCAGGTCAGAGACCCCTAGATTCAGAGGGAGAGCATCTGGTCAACAACTCCAACTCTCAGATGGGCTTGAACCAAATAACAGAATTGAGTGTCATTTTTATAACACTCCTAGAGCTGAAAATGCAAAGCATGTTTAGTGATATCACAGTGTGAGCCTTCAGCCTTTTGATATACAGCCCAAAAAGTAACATCACATCACAGTAGTTGACCAATATGTTTAAACAGATCTTAAGTTAAGCCACTACAGATAGTCAAATATGCTTCCATTTACAAGGCACGTTCATTTAAAACCAGAACTCACGAAGGTTATTTGGAGATAACAACAGTAAAGTTATGAGATTAGAATTAATGAATAAAGTTTTTAGACTTGTAGTTTTTAAAGTACCAAGACTAAACCTTAAAATATGTAGAAAAAGCTTTTAATTAATGTATGTTGAAGAGAAATGACTTACAAAAGTTAAAACATGTTATTGATATACAACTCTCACTAAAAATCTATCATAAGAGTGATGCATCAATAATCAAATAATTACCAAAAACCCAACAACAACAAATATTTGACCATGAAATGTTAGAAAGTGATAGAATAATCTAAAAATGATTGCTTCTCTGTAAATGTATGAGGTATACATTGCCAAAATTTTCAACAATTTACTGTCATTGGATCAGTGCACAGATGAAAGACAAAACTTTGGATAAGAAGTCAGAGGAGTCTCATACTAACATAAACAAGACCATCTGAGTAAACAGCTTTTTAAATTCAAATAAAAATAATTAGAAGAGAAAATAAAAAAAAGGTTCTATATATTTTATAAACTATCTGTTCATTTAGATAAACAATGTTTAAGTTAAAATCTCACAAGAAAACATTTACTTAACTTCACTTATTTTAAGTAACCATAGAATCAGTACCCCAAAATCTAAAATTTGTTTGCAACAACTATGGTATATATATATAAATATTAAAACAAGAACCATCTCTGGTTTTCAAGCATTCAAGCTTTGCAGTCCCTTGATGATAACAGATTGATCAAAACTGTTAAAATAATGAGAAAGAGAACTAGTTCGTAAAATATACAGTTAATTTTGGAGGTATCATTTATATGAACACAAAGATATACATTCTTTTTATATCTTTATTTTTTGAATTAAAAAGCACAATGAAAAACGTTTAGAAAAACGTTTTTTAATAGTTCCAAAGTTGGATTGTTCTAAAAAAGTCGATAAGTTGTAAGGGTTACCAAATGACTGATTTCTGCAACTTACAATACCATCAGCTAATTCAAAAGATAAAGAGAGAAATTATTTTCACATATGTCAGTATAATAAAACCATTCTCATACTACAATTCTATAATTAGAAATGGACAAGAAAATAAACTGTAATCATGTTAATCTACGATCGTCGTTTCTTACCTTTAAATACATTGAAGAGGGTTGAAAAAGTAACGACAAAAAATGTAGTGGAGTATTTTCCTGCATTTACCAAGTGAGGAAAAGCTTCATTAGTGTCTCGATAGCGACGAAGACATTGAGCAAATCGAAACCATGCAGGTAGGCAGGCTACAATAGGTCTAAATATCATACCCACTTGTTTGTCCATACAACGAACAACATCTGAAATGTCCATCACAATTTAGTCTCGGTTATAAAAAGTCCTACTCGTATTTTTTTTACTGTCTATTATGTATGTTAAAATATGAGAAATGTTTTTCTGACCTTCAAAGTGTTTGAAATATCACTGAAATTTGATTATTTCTAGTTGTGCAAGATCACAGTTTACCATTTTATGTTCTTCACAGCTAACACCTTCAAAAGTTACAGGAAATCAGAAATCTATCTACCTCCAAACTCAAGAATAAAGAATGCATTAAAATTTGTGTGTACAGTATGACTGGTATGGCTTTAATAATTAATTTAAGTTACATTAAAATGAGGGCAGAGTTAACACAAAATCTGAAAATTATAGGATTATTTCTACTTCAATCTTCCAAGGTCTGAGCAAATTAACCAAAACCAATCCATGGATAAAATGAAACTTTGAAAACAAAACAGATAAATTCTATAAAAGTTACCTTATTTTTTATGATTTTGGTATAATCCTTGTGTGATATGTGATGTATGATTAAACCACTGAGGAAAAGATTAAGATAAATCAGCTACAAAATCAAACAATAAACTGTAATTATAAATATAATTATGCAAGACATACCTTCAGTTTTTTTAGTTTTAACCTTTCTTCAGTTTTCAATGTTTACTACTTATAAAATAACTGATAGCAGTATTGGTTTGTTTGTCTGTTATTAAGCACAAAGCTACACAAAGGGCTATTGAAACCCAGGTTTTAATATTATAAGCCCACAGACTTACTGCTGTGCCACTAGGGAATGATACCAGTAACAGATAAAAAAAGCCTGTATACAAATGGGAGGTGTTAAAAGAATTATGAAAAGTTTGTGTTCAAACAGAGCATGAAAATATACCAATATTATCGGAAGACTATTTCTTATCAATTACCTTCTTCCTTCCATGAAACTGTTTTATACGCGAGTTAAAACATACTTAAAGAAATATATAAAAATAAGCTGATTACAGCCTAATACTAGGTTGTCTCCAGTGTGGCACAAAGTTTTAATAACAACACATTTTAAATATAGGAAAGTTTATTTTCCTTATTTAAAAGCTGTAGTGGATTGTATATAAAACTCTGAGAACTTATCAAGTTTCCTCTATTGTCTTTAATGGCAAAGAACAAAAACTTTACTTTCTGAGATTAGATGTATTTGGTTTTTTGGAAATGCAGAAATGTACATTAAATTGTAATTTTTTTTTTTTATTCAACAACAAAATTATTCAGAAATAGTTGTTTTTTGGATTTCAAGTACATTTTATGTATCCCTCACAATCTTACCAACTTGTGAAAGATGCTAGATCAGATTTTCAAATATAGAACATTTTGTATTAAGGGCACTGTAGTCCAATAGTTTTACAATGGATACTTGCACACAAAAAATGATCAGGAATTAAAAATCTTCACGAAAAAACTAAAATTTTTAACGATTTAAAAAAAAATCTTACACTAGTCTTTATTTCCTCGTCCTCTTCACAGTGTATATTATGTTAGCTTGTGAAAATGTGGAAACATCCATAAATTAGGTCATAATAATAATAATACTATTCACTACATGAGTGCTTCCCAAACTTCAGTCATTCGCGTACCACCGTCACGATTTTTGCCATACCTGCGTACCACCTGTACTATTATTTACGTTTTAGTTAATATTTTTCTTTAAATCGACTCACTTTTTTGATTTAAATAAAGTTATTTTAAAAGGAAATTTCATAACACTAGGATAAATAGAAAAACAGTATCACTTACCATAATATTTATTTCAAGACATTATTTTTCTCATCTCAACATGATACTGTTATAAGAAAGTGAAGAGAACTTCAGAATTCATGATACAAGTAATAATAAATATAACGTTTTTAACCGCTGATCCATGATGGGTTCAAAAGAAAAATAAAATAAAACAGAGCACAGACACACAATCAAAGAATGAGAATCTTTGTCTAACACTAACTAACGAACATGGTTCTTGGTATGTCATTGCGCATGCTCTCGGAATAGCGACTAGCCAACGAGTGGACCAGATGAAGCGCACGTCCTCTGAATAATAGCTAATGTTTAATTGTCAGCAGATAATGTAATAACTGTGTTCAAATTTATTTTTTTCTTAGAATTCTTTTCTAATACACATTAAAATAAATATATAACTATCAAAATAAAAAAGTTGTCCGCGTACCACCTAAAATCATCTTGTGTACCACCAGAGGTGCATAACACACTTTGGGAAACACTGCACTACATGAGTAAGCAAGGGAAGAAAGCTAGTAAATAAATACACACACACTTGTATGCTTATAAAAACAAACAGACTGTAGTAATAAAAAAACACACAGCTTCAGAGATGAAAGAATTTGATCAAAATACAAACCACTATTTTCTGTCCAATCTAGGGTACTGACATAGAAACAGACGAAATATTCAAAGTCCACCAGAACTGGCACTAAACTGTTCAGTTGATCTGCAAGCCAGAAGTCAGCAAATCCCACGTGAAAGAATGGAGAAGCTATTACTCGACCCTGGAGAAAAATCCATATTCACAAAATATAACTATTTATCCATCCAATACCAAACAACTAAAGTCACAGTGCAGTGTTTTCACTGACATTTTTATTTTAAATACTGTGTGAGGCCAAAGTACTCATTACCTACAGTTTGAATTTATAAAAAAAACAAAAACAGATCAACTGGATCTACCAAACAGTTTATCCACTTAAAAAATAATCAAATATTAGTAATTTACTGTACATAAAGTTTGATTTGAGTCATAAGACATATAACAGAGGGAAAAAAGTAGATTTGGTTACAGAACTAATGCCGAACTTCAAGTTTGTTTGTTTGTTTTGAATTTCGCGCAAAGCTACACGAGGGCTATCTGCGCTAGCCGTCCCTAATTTAGCAGTGTAAGACTAGAGGGAAGGCAGCTAGTCATCACCACCAACTCTTGGGCTACTCTTTTACCAACAAATAGTGGGATTGACCGTCACATTATAATGCCCCCACGGCTGAAAGGGCGAGCATGTTTGGTGGGACGGGGATTTGAACCTGTGACCCTCAGATTGTGAGTCGAGCACCCTAACCACCTGGCCATGCCGGGCCTATTAGTTCTTAACTGTGTATTTTACTAAGTAGAAGATTCCCAAAAAGCTTTGTCTCCACAATTACACAAGCCCAAGATTAACTAACTGAAGCAGTAATAAACATAGCCTTCTGTTTATTTTTTTACCTGGAATCTAACCTAGAATACAGAAATATTATAATATATAATCATCTGATTTGATTATTCGGAAATAATTGTAGAATGTTCACTTACAAGGACTCGAAGAAGCCAGAATCGAGCATGATGTCTCATAGTTTTTACTGGGTTGACTAGAAATAAAAGCATTACAATCACCAGAGTCAATGGGTTTGCATAAGCAGGAATCGCTAAGGTGTTGCTGTAGAGGAAACCAAGAACACTGATTGTCCACAAAACCCCAAAAATTGCTGCCATCTGAAAAAAGTTAATGCACTTACTAGAGGAATTCAGAATAACAAACTACTATTACTTTCTTGTAAGTAGCATCAAAGTTGAATAAGAGGCTGATTGCACTACAGAGATAAGTAATGATAAAAATAATTGTTTCACCAAAGACAAAAGTTACTTGTTACATTATAGACAAAAAATTAAATAGCCTCTGGACCACCATTACAACAAGTTGACTCAAAAGATATAAACTACAGTATGGCAGTCACAAAACTTAATTAAGTACAACTTTACATGAAAAAGCCTTTTAAGTAAACCATATTTGTATATTAAAAAGTAATAACAGCAGATAAATAAACAAATATCAGTGGTTAATGAAGAGACAATATGGATAATTTTAACCATATCAAGGTCGTTTTTGTGGTTTTGTTGCTGGCTGTTACTGCCTTACGAAAGGATTTGGATTATTTGGCGAGTTGGGGAAATAAATGGCAGAAGGTTTTTAATTATAATAAATGCAAGGTAATGCATGAGGGATATCACAATTTATATTAGAATCACAATTCTGAAAGTAATATTTTTAACGGTATTATGAAAGAAAAAAGATCTCGGTGTTCTAATTGATCAGTCTCTTAAGCCATCCAAGCAATGTGCTGTTGCTATTGGCAGAGAAAATAGGTTTTAGGTTGTATGTACACAAATATTGAACACACACATCTAAGGAGCTTATAATGTTCAGGCTTGGGCTCCTTCCCTCCGAAAGGACATTGAATTGTTAGAAAGGGTTCAGAGGATGGTTTCTATGATGATACCTGATATGGAAATGTTATCAAACGAGTTCTACTGTACAACATTTTTTAGTTTTTGTTGCAGTTTTAGTTCAATTAAATTTGCAGCTATTTAAGAATCTTACTTCCATCAAGTGCTGTTCTGATAAATGATTTCTTGGGTCCAGCTCAAATATCAATACATGGTTCACTCCCGATGTTCTCCATCCATACACATTAATACCAATCAAGAACATAAAAAGAATAATGAGCAGAGTTCCCCTGTACAGTCGAAAAACAATACGCCAGTCATCCCTGGTTTTACTGAATACACCTAGAAATAACAAAAAACAAATACTCATTCTTAATTTGTTTCTAATACATCTACTATAACAACAACAAAAAATAAAGTGTAAAAAAATGAAACCTGCTTTGCTGAAAACATCTAAGCTGTAAATTAAAACAGCAAACAACATTACTGGTTTTAATGAATACACCTAAAAATAAAAACAACAACAACAAAACAAAAGTGTAAAAAAATGAAACCTGCTTTGCTGAAAACATCTAAGCCGTAAATTAAAACAGCAAACAACATTACTGGTTTTACTGAATACACCTAAAAATAAAAACAACAACAACAAAAAAAAAGTATAAAAAAAATGAAACCTGCTTTGCTGAAAACATCTAAGCAGTAAATTAAAACAGCAAACAACATTACTGGTTTTACTAAAAATAAAATAAGAATAAAGCAAGGGACAATCTATTTTGGCTTTACTAATTTTCATTAAAATAAAATATAGAAGGGTACAAAATTATCTCTGGCTTTGATGAAAATATATAAATAAAATAAATATTAAAACTATCAACAAGACTGTGAACAAGTACCTGACAAGTATTCATTGAACATCAAGCTCTTTCGAGCATATATTCAAATTAAAAATCTGTTTCATTACAAAAAGCAATAACATTTAGAAAGAGAGCTTAAGATATACAATATTCACAGCTTAACGAACATCTCTTGAAAGTTAGGTTCAATTCTTATGAAAACTGTCAAAGTTAATTACAAAACACTTCTAAATAATTTTTTGGATAAATCTTTACGCACAGACAGGATAATTGAACAGATCAAAATACTATTTTGGATATTCCATTGAAGTTTTTAATCTATCAGGACTGAATTCTGATAATTCAATTTATATTTGTTTTCTCTCCCTTACGACAAAACCATATTGTTGTCATACTGGTGGTTTTTAATGACACTCACCTGACAGAATTACAGTCGTTATAAGCACTAGAAAGGCACCTGAAAATAAGCCCACTTTAAATGTTGTCCATGGTGATTGCTATACAAAACAGAGATAATGCGCTATTAATTAACCAATAAGCTTGTAACTTTTGAAGTCATACTTACTTTTCTATTCAATCAGATTTCACATGAATCTATATAAATATATCTATACGTATATTAGCAAAGTCATATAAATCTCATCTTAACAGCAATCACAACAGGACTCGTATGTTCGAACCAATTTACATTATTACTTTTATTAGTTACCAAATTTTTGTCTTATGATTTAAGACTCATTTTTGGATTAGTTAATAAAACAAAATTAATCAAAATAGTAAACAAAAAATTATTAACTGCACATGCATTTACCAGCACAGCCTAGTGTGTGATTCCTGTAGTTTAGAACTTTATTTATGTACTGGTAAGTTTCAATAAATACAAATTAAAATATTTTTAACACTTCATTCTTTATTGAAATTTCTTCTGAAGTTATAATGTCATGACAAACACTAAATGTTGATTCACTGTTAAATAATTTAGAATTCAAAATTATTGTCTTAACCATCAACTGATAGGGTAAAATATTTGTATCAAACGTGGTAGGGTGGGTCAAAATGATGTGTAATAAACTTCAAAAATATTATCTTTATAATACTGTGGGGTCAGAATGACCTACAAACAATTACAACAGTAAACAAGAGAAATGCAACAACATATCTGCTCTGCTCAAATGATTGCAGAAAGAGTACAGAAAATATTGGGTAGAGAGCAGAACTGGATAAGTTGGAATATAGACTGGAAAAATCAACATGGGTCATTCTAATCCCACTCTACCAGTTTTGGGTTAAATCCGTTTTTTAAAGCACTTATTTGTTCAGGTATATATTGCTTTTTTTGTCACTTACAGACAAGATTAACTGTGACATCACCAATGATTTAAAGACTTCTATGTTTTGCTACTTCAATAACATATACTTGGTTCTTTTCACCAGTCAAATGATGTAAAACATTTATTATCGAAACACTCACACTTCTTGTGAGCTCTATAAACATATGAACCTAAGCAGAAAGCATTTCTATTGATAATTATATTGAAATGACAAAATCTAAGCCTCTTCAACTGATTCAATTTAACAATAAAGTACTATTACTTGGAGACCACTTGAATCTTCCAAATCGAGCACTACTGCTAACTTTTCTTGTGTTCTACAAAACTTTATTAAAATGAAATTCACATACTTTGTTGTTGTTGTGTTTTTCTTTCTATTTATTTATGTTTTTTGGGGGGTTAGATTTTTATGACCTTGCAAAAGCACCAATTGATCTTTGTTAGTATTCTATATCTGAGAACCACATTTCACCATAAGTGTCTTCTTCAAGGTGTTTTTCACTCTCTGATTTGATCACAAATCTTACCTGAACACTTACAAAATAGAATTTCAACTGAGGAACTGATCATACTTTCTAGTTGATACTTAAAGAAGTCTGTGCTAAATTTAGGTTACCTTATCATTCAGTGGAGGAACTCTTAATCTTTTCATTGCTCTTTGTCTGTCTCCTCCTTCCAATTCTGATGTGAAAAGTGTCTATTCAGAACACAAGACAATTTTGAGAAACAGGGTTGAAAAATTCCCCTAATGGAAAACAAAATAGTAGCAGAAAAACTTTTTGGATCTAAACATTTCTAAGTTGAAAAACAAAACAAAAACAATTACCTTTAATGGTGACATGGTTTTTAATACCAAAAGACATATAAATGTAATAAAATCTGTTATGTGATCTGATCCACTGAATTAGTAAAAGATTATAAAATAAAAAGGGTCAATTTGATCTTCCTTTCTACATTCACTGAAATCCAATGTGTTATCCTCAGGAATATAGCTAAAATAATCACAGAGAGATATCAAAGATGAAATAATGCATTGAATCTCTATCAATTCAACAATGGAGAGACAGTATACACACTATCCACAGAGCTACAAACAATCCTAATTTCTCTCGAACAAGGCATTAACTGGTAATATTTTCTCTCTTAATCCTCTGTACACAGGTTCAGTCATTTTAACAGAACTCGTAACCACAAAAGTATACAGGCTATAACTCAGAATTTACCAAGTGTATCTTCCTGAAATTTGGTAAGCTTTTAATAAACATTTCAAATGTGTTTTATACAAAAAATCATGTTTATTAATTAAGTATTTTTACTAAATATTTGTCTGTGAATTTTCAAAGCCTTTACTGAATGCAAGATGATTTTTATATTAAGAATAAAAATACTTTTTCACCTTACAGTTTTCATTTGCATGTCCTCTAGACACTCCTAAATGAATATCAATTTTTTTTAGTAAAACTATATATTTTATCTGTTATTTTACCTACCCTAATGCTGTATATGGGCTCGGTCTTTTTGACTGACCTTGTAACCACAGCGAACAAAAAATCAAAATAAACCTGAATTACCCCTTTTTCATTTTTTGAACCATGTTCAACTATTAAACGAGGGTAAAAATCAATGTTGCCCAGTGAAATCATATTGCAAGTTATGGTAAACAAAGTACTGAATTTCATCATGCATAAACAGCTCACACGCATTCTGCAGAGTGAAATTGTTCAATTTATTTTTTTTCATTCAAGTTTTCTTATCTAACCTAATAAGTTTATAATTATTGTATTTTAATTACTTTTATAATAATAATAAATAAAATATATACAAGACAAGAAATTTAGTATATGTGGATCTTTTATCTTTTTATCAGTCAAAATCTCAAAGTATCTATAAATGTTAACCCTTATCTTTGGAATGGATTCTGTTAGTACTTTAATGATTTTTTATTTATTTCAAATATTTAATTTAGAACACCAAATAATACCACATACACACACAGAATATAATGTCCTATAACTATTATAATTTAATTGGCTTTTTAATAAATCTATAAGTTGTTTAAATTAATTCTTTTGGTTGGTCGAAGTGACTTGATGATAGAGAAAAATGAAACTATAAGCAGAATAAATGAAAACCTGTCATTAGAATGAGCTAACCTTATAAGGAAATCATTAAATCAAAATCTTCTTTATCTATTGGTTATAAATAATGTAATAGCAAATGTCTGAGAGAATTATTGACATTATGAAAGTGAAGCATTTGTGGCATTTTACACCATTTGCAAATACTTCAAGGAGTGAGAAATATAATTTTATAAAAATTCCATGTATGACATACATATATACATACAATATGAAGAAAAGCTGTGCACATTTAATTAATGCATAAGAGAAATGACACTTGACCAAGAAAGGAAACGTATATGTCAAGCATAAACTAAGATGCTTTCCAGGAGGTATTGGGGACCAACCGTTTACGTTATTGACATAAAACAGATGCAACCATAGCAGAAAGAAAGCTATGACAAAGTTTACTTTAACTTCACTAGAAGAAGAAGACAAATTGTATAAAAGAATTTAGAAAAGAAATCAGAGATTCTTGACAGAACTCTGATCTGAAGAAGATGAGTAGAAATACATGGAAACAGGCTGCCGATTTACTCTCTTCAATCATAACCAATTACCGGATTAGTTTTTGTTTTAGTTCTGATTATTAAGACGAGTCAACAAAATTCATCCAATGAAGTGACAGATCTACTTGCAAGTTGGATGTGTACACTACTTGGAGAATTGTAAGAATACCAAAGAAATTTGTATAAAAACACATGTTTAGGGCTAAAAGTGAGTTCTTCAGCAACACCTAAGAAGCCAGTAGTCTTGCTGCCAGTCTATCCTGAAGCAATGCTGATGAAGATGTCAACTTTAAAACCTATCCTGCTCAAGTTCCATGTAAGTAACAACTGCTATCTCTCTCTCGGTTGACCATTATAGTTAGGAATTGGATGTAAATTGCTTAGTATTAATTATATCTGAGCATATTTCACTTAATGTGTTAATTGATAACTTACTGGTTATATTAATAAATCTAATGGATAGTACTGAAACTTTAGTTGAGGGACAGTTATCTGCTCAGATTGAAGAATTTCGTAATTTTAACAGTGAAGTTTTTCAAGATACCTTCAGTAATCTTGATGTAGCAGAGTATCTTAAGATATTGAAGTAAAGTGTTGTTTGTGTTTTGAATCTCAGTCTCAGAATGAATTTTTTATTCTAACTGTAAACTTCCTCGAGTTATTGACTTGTGTATTTCACTTGTGACTGTAAACCTAGATTTAAATAAATCTACTGATAACTGGATTTAATTGAAACTCCAAATAACTGGCCTACACAGCATCCCATTACAAAAGACAAGATGTGATAAGAGGGCGTAACATGTGGGTTTGACTTTCTGGTTTATATCTTAGTAAAGCAAGAATTGGAGGTTATATATTAAGGTTATGTCTTGGTAATATCTTTACTATAAATGTGTAACTTATATTAAAAATTAGAATCTCAAATAGGGTGGAAAGAATATCTAAATGAGTAAGTTGGAGAGAAAAAGTATCATGTGATACAGAGAAGTGAAAATTGAGAACTTATATAAATATTTCCTTTGGAAATTATGGAATCAAAACTTGGAAAATATAAAAATTTGAATTACAAACTAGTTTTGATGTCAAGTTTATTGACATATTTTGATAGTAAAGAAGTTTACTTAAGTTGTGAAAGTAACTCTCTAAAAAAAAAAGGTTATGACATGCACTTTGATCTACCCCTGTTGATAGTTAACTAAACTAAAACATAATGGTACTATTAATTACTAAAAAAAAGTAGTGCTGTTTTCTGTACAAACTCAAGGTGATTTTTCTAGAAAAAACTAGTTTTAAACAGGAAACTTTCTACATACACTAGGCAAGTATACATTTTTATGAACTAAATGATATTAACATTTGTATATCATTTTACAAGTTTTTCCTATGTGTGATGGTGTTTTCCTTCATAATTACACTTACTCATTTGCACAATAAAACCAGATTGTCTTTTCTTGTCTAACTAATATCTTAATTTTATATGAGCATATTGAGATCTATACACTTCTTGAAATATATTTTTCCTATATAAACTTGAAATTAGTTCAATACTTATTATATTTTCTTTATTGTATTAATCTTTAGATCAAGACACACTGTGGATTAACAGGAGTTTAGCAAATTTCCATCTTCTGTATCTCGGACTGTAGTAATCTAAACTATCACATATTTTCAGTGGATATTCTCTACTGGAATCTTACTTCACATACCAAATTTCATGGCAATTCATTAAGAAAGATAAGAGATAAGAAATCTCCAATTTTGATTGAATTTTTCCTTTTTTTTCTTCTCAATGAAAGTACAGAAACTTCATTTGATAGAAAAAACATAATTAACTTTTATGGATTTTTTTCAAATTTGGTATACTGATAGATCTTTACAACCTACAATACGTGTCAAATTTGGTCTAAGTATAAGCCACATGTCCAAAAACTGCTCACATATTTGACCAAAATTTTTGTGCATGCCTATGCAAGAAAGTCACGTGAGCTATTGTTCTGAAATTTTTACTACATCTTCACATAAGAGTAAAAGTGGACCATTTTTAGTTTTTATGTCATTTGGATTAAAGACGACCAGTATGCCCCAAGTTGAACAAAACACATGGCCTGGCTAACTAATGAATGAATATTTGCTGTAAAATTCTTATCAATGCTATAAGTGTAGCTACCAGTTTGGCCGCTTGATTTCCTTCAAGTCGCACGTTCAATCCTTTTTTGTCCGTACATTTTTTTTATTAGATATAAATATCTGTAGAGTTGTGTATAGATGCTACTGAAGTAACCAGTGTCATATTTTTTAATGTAGTTTTAACAATACAATCCACTTCAAAGATCAAATTGGACTCACCTCTGTTTCTTGAATGAGTTTGTCAATATCTTTGTTAGAGTAAAATGGTGCCACATCCACATGGGCTTGTCGCCATTTAGCTCCAGCATCGGTACCAAATAACTGTAAAAACAATTATGTTTATTTGCTAAACAAGGAAATAAACTTTATTTTGAACAATTCTGTATCACAAAAAAACATAATTTTTGGTTGAAAGTCCACATACGCGGAATAACAAGTTACACAAGTGCTTGATGCACTAATTACAATCTTCATCAAACTGAAATTTAATGTTTCTATTTTTCATGTTGCTGCCCATAATAATGTATTTACAATTCCATGTTTCTAAAATAATGCACGTGAATTAACTGCTATAAGAAGTTAGTATTTTAGTTGGTCAGGCTGTTAAATAATTGTACCACACACTGAAAAATGTTTTTATTCTTAAGCGTGCTTTTTTTTTTAACTTCATCAATTTGTTAAGAAGATTTTATTTTAGTCACACCGTAAGACAGAAAGTTACTTATTATAAATAAAAAAATATACAATACACATAGTCTTCTGCTGAACTTTATTCAGTGCATGTTTTCAGTGGTTACAGACACAAGAATTATTAAAAAATGTTCCATTTTTGAAAAATAAACAGAATTTTATATATTGCCTTAGACAAAACAAAGCAAAATTTAAACATTAAACAGTATAAATAATACTATTTTAACACAGAAGGGGACAGTTTTCAGGAACATTTAAATATTTATAATGTCATTATACAATAGGTTTTTCTTTACAATATTAGTTTTTCTTTATGACAAAAATTTATTTTGTAACAATAAAGCCTGACAACGTCTAAAAGTGTTTGTTATGAATTTCGTGCAAAGCTACATGAGGGCTATCTGCGCTAGCCATCCCTAATTTAGCAGTGTAAGACTAGAGGGAAGGCAGCTAGTCATCACTACCCACCACCAACTCTTGGGCTACTCTTTTACCAATGATTAGTGGGATGGACCGTCACTTAATAATGCCCCACGGCTGAAAGGGCGAGCATGTTTGGTGGGACGAGGAATCGAACTCACGACCAGCAGATTGCGAGTCGAGCACCCTAATCACATGGCCATGCTGGGCCTAAATGTTTGTAAAGTTTTTATGTTCTAGCTATCATATTACTGTGTTACACCACACAATTTTACAATGTGATTCTGTAAATGTTTCCATCACTTTGAAAGCAATAAAGTACTTTCTTCTATGATAATTAAAGGGATTTTGCATAGTTTCTAAACGCAAAACTTTTGAAAGTTAAAACCCAATAAAACTGATTCCGATAAAATATTAAATTCCAAATCAACACAATTTCAATAATATCAAACAATAGCTTTTAACATTACAATTCAAAGAGAGTTTATAATCTTTTAGATTTCAATCATTTAAAGCCATATAGATACATTTCGTAACAAAAGCATTATTTAAGGGCATACTTTTGTATATTTTCAAGATAATTTCTCTTTTTGGGGAAATAAAAGGCAAAGCTCAAAAATTTGTTTTTCAAGCATAATTTCTCTTTTTGAGCTTTTTGGGGAAATAAAAGGCAAAGCTCAAAAATTTGTTTTTCAAGCATAATTTCTCTTTTTGAGCTTTTTGGGGAAATAAAAGGCAAAGCGTAAAAATATGTTTTTCATACTAGATTCATAAAACCTACCTTGTCGTGTTTCTTCAGAATCTTTCGAAAACCAGTGAAGTTGAGGTTCTGGTAATTTTGTAGGAGAATCAAACTTAGATAGAACTCACTAAATGCAAGCTTTAGGTCATGCATCTTTCGTGTTTGGGTTTGGACCTGCTTATGAGTTTCTCTGTTCAGGGCTTTCAGCTTGAATGTTAACCTAGGATTTGAGGATAGAAATACATAAACATGTGAAATCAGCACTGATATTTTTGAACAACAGCAAATTTTAAACTCTTCTTTTAACTTCTGAAATCCAAAGTCCAGAATGCATATTTTTCTTTACCTTTTTTGTTAGAAAAAATGTTATTTTCTGTACGTGTAAACATTACTAATAAACATTTTGAAGGCATTTTAATTAAACCAACTGGAAATGAAATATAATGAAAATATATACCTTTATCTATTTTAAACACATAAAATTATGAAAACCATCTGCTCATCAAATGATACAAGTAGCAATATAAGTATGAAGGTTAAGCATTAGGAAAAAGTATTGACATTTAAAATAACATTTTATAGTCCTCGTGGATGCAATGTACTAATTAAAATTGAGGATATTTTAATTTTTTTAGATATGAAGAAGTTAAGGTCTCTGTAAGAGTATTTTAATCAAATGTAAGATATTAATATCATGTTACAGATATGTGAATATTGTTTATCTTGGCTTTTAGAAAACTACTAGTATGATTTTACAAAAATGTTAATTACTAAGAGTTCTTACATTACAGATGAGAGGCTTAAAAAGAGGATTGAAAATAATAAACGGATTGTTTTCTAACTAGATGAATGTGATTGTTTGTTTGTTTTTGAATTTTGCACAAAGCTACGCGAGGGTTATCTGCGCTAGCCGTCCCTAATTTAGCAGTGTAAGACGAGAGGGAAGGCAACTAATCATCACCACCCACCGCCAACTCTTGGGCTACTCTTTTACCAACGAATAGTGGGATTGACCGTCACATTATAACGCCCCCACAGCTGAAAGGGCGAGCATGTTTGGTGTGATGGGGTTTCGAACCCGCAACCCTCAGATTGCAAGTCGAGCGCCCTAACCACCTGGCCATGAATGTGATTAGGAGGTACCTAAGGAAGATTTTCTATTGTTAATTTTGTTACTTGCAACACAGGCCGCAACTTACCTAAATTTGAATAATGATGTCAAACTTCACAGAAGAATATTACTTTAAGAAAGATCACAAAAGGCTTAGTGAGAGATCTAGACTGTGGAAACTCATAAATTTATGATATCAAAACTTAGAAAAAAAAAAACTTTATGAGAATACTGGTGGCATGTTTTATAAGAATAAAAAAGACTAGTGTGTGATTATTAAGGAAAGCTTAATTCTTTCATTCATGCCTGGTTTGGTGACTATACTTAACTGACTACTTGGATCTATTTACTAAACTTTTAATTATAAACAAAATAAGATTATTGTCACTTTAACTGCTCCTCTCTTGGAGTATTATATTTAGTTTTGATCTACTTATTCCAGAATGAACATTGGTATGCTATGAAACGAACAGAAAATGAAAATAAAACTGCTCTACAAATTTATCTATATGTGGAAACAGTTATATTTGTTTTCACAGGAGTGTAGAAATAATGAAAAGACGATTTGAACTGTGTGCTTAAAATCTTTAGAAGTTCACAAAGGCTAGTTACAGAAAGTAATATCTCTAGACCTATAATTTTCCTAACTGTGAATTTAATATTAAGAGATAATAAATAAATGTGTTCTTGTATATCCACAAAACCATCCATGAAATATTTAAAACTCTTCCCAGAAACATCCAACTACAGACATTCTATAAGCAATATAAAAAAAAAAACGTTTATGGTCTAAAAGAAGTTTGTATTTTCATTAAACTTGTTGTATTAAACAGGTGAACAACTATTTGTTCTATAATGCACGTATTGTTTATTTTTAAACGTTTATTAAAGTGACTTTACCTTTTTCCCCCGGATTCACTTTTTACACCAGAAACCTCAAGAGAATTGTTTAGCTCTGTCTTTATATTACCAAACTTGCGGGTAGCTTCTGCTAGTTTTTCTGTAAAGTAATAGAAAAGCAATAAAGTATAATTTCCACAGGATAAATTCACCTGGTCACCTCTTACAGTTTTTTTTTTTATCTTTCTCTCATTTAGTTTTCAGATATAATAGCTTTTTGAATGATACTGATTTGCCACTTACCTGAGAAAAATGTATTTATCTTTGCCAATTCCTTATCACAGTAGTGAAAAAATTCTTCATCAAATTTTGCAAAGTATTGAGTAATTTCTCTTCGTTCCACAACTGAAAGAAATACAAATATAGTTTATAACATAATCTGAGTTTAACTACTAAGAAAAATGTGACTAGATAAATGTAATTTGGAGGAAAGAACTTACCAAAAAACACAGTTGTGGTGTAGTAATTGTAAAACTAATGCAAGAGGCACTGTTTAGATTAATAAATATCCAAAGAATATTTGAAAGAATTTAAGCTACATGCATTAATTGTCATAAAAACATTCCACAAGCTTATATAGTAAAAATTTCTTCTTTTTTTATTTTTTACAAAGCAAATCTTCATCATATGCTTCCAAATCTTACATTTAGTACTCCTAATACTCAAAACAGCATTTATAATATTTTCCTGCACAAAAAAAAAAGACCATCCAAATTCAGATATCATCCAAGCCCCCCAAAAAATTTAAATCAAATTTTAGTAGGTTGTCTGTAAAGAGACCAGAGCTGCAACAAATGCAGATTAGTCTCATCAAAAACTTTCTTAACATTAAATTCATTTTTTTTTATAAATTAAAAACTAAAAGTTTATTACTGTTTCAAGTCAACACTAAACACTCAGCTGATGACTTTGTTCTTTTTCAGAAATTAGATGAATGATCCTCTCAAGAAGTTCTTGCCAAATTCCTGTATCATAAGCGCATTTCTTTACACTTCTCAACAAACTCATTGTCCATGTTCTGGTTTTCTCTCTCATTAAATCTGCAAACATCTTTTTGATCCAGAGAAACATTCTTAACAGTACCAACCCTTACCAAATTTTCAGTATCATCAACAAAATGGATAAATATTTTACTATTCAAACAATCTGTTCTCATCTCTGACCTCCTTAGCCAGCACTGAAAAGGATCCACAGTTTATGTGTGTTTATTTGATTACTTATTCTGCACAATTCCATTTCAAAAAGTTAACACAAGTTCACGTTTCTTTGATATCTTAATGGCAGAAATTTTAAATCACCATTATCACTGCACACACCTCTCTTGGAAACTTCCTTTCTCAAAGACTTTGCATTATTATATAACTTATGTTAAATAAAATGACTAGTATTCCTAATTTATCCTTTACTTACTCAAAATTCAGCTATTAGATGGTTGGTAAGCAATTGATTTATTCAATTTTCACAGAATTATGGTAATTAAAACAAGGAAAAACTTTAATTTCTATAAATTTCAATAACTACAGAGCTAAAAAAGTTGCATAATTAAAGCACAATTTTTAGTAAAGTAAGATAAAATATATTTAACAGTTTGAAACACACATAAATGTTCTCTAGTAGCATATTTATTTTATTTTCAAAGTAAGAACAGTAGTCATACACAAAATCTCAAATTTTCATAAATATATCTGCAAGACATGCAATATCAATTTATAGAAATTATTAAGGACAAAACATTACGTCTCTTCCACCTTCTTCTGTTGATAATTTATAGAAATTATTAAGAACAAAACATTACGTCTCTCCCACCTTCTTCTGTTGGTAATTTATAGAGATTATTAGAACAAAACATAACATTACGTCTCTCCCACCCTCTTCTGTTGGTAATTTATAGAAATTATTAAGAACAAAACATTACGTCTCTTCCACCTTCTTCTTT